CCTATTCACAATTTGTAACCATAATAAATAATCAACTTGTCCAGCTTCATATAAGCACCACAATAATTTTCTTCTTCTTCTTTTTTCTCTACCTCCTTTGTGATGTTAATCGTGGAGTAGTCTCAGCCAACCTTCGTAATGTGTCCCTATCCTAGGCCTTCCTCTTCATCACCCCCAGAGTCGAGCCCTGCTCTCATCCGAATCTATCCATATAAATGTTATATATGATTCTCGGACATCCAACCAAGCGCTGCCCCCTCGGTCTGGCCTCCATCACCTCCATCCACCTAGCTCTACGCTCTTACCCCATCCTGCAGACATATCCATACCACTTGAGCTGGCGTTCCTCTATGATATCCCTTACATGTCTAAATCCAAGGGTATCTCTAACTGTCCTGTTCCTCACGCAGTCTCTTCTTGTGTTTCCAACAACTCTTCTGAGATACCTCATTTCTGCTGACGTCACTCGTGAGGCATTCTTGTCCAATAATACCCAGCTCTCAGCTTATTGCCAGAGGCTCTCAGCCATATAACAAGACCGGGAGGAAGACAGTTTTAAAGATGCGAAGCTTTGCCTCTTTGCTCATCTCTTGCTTCACCTCCAGTGTTCGGGAAACTTTGGAAGAAGACCTGGTTAGCTTTACACACTCGATGCATAACTTCTTGGTCCATCTTCCCATCCCTACTGAAGACAGTTCCCAGATATTTATAAATATCAACTTGCTCCAGTCTGTGTCCTTCACACATGAACCTGAGGTCTACCTCCTCCCGTCCTACCTGCATAATCTTGCTCTTACCACGGTTGATTGCAAACTCTCTTCTCTTTAGCTCCTCGGACAACTCTTCCACTGCAACTTGCAGAGAATTGTCTGTTATCACCACAATGCCATCTGCATAAACGGAGCACTGAGTCTGAACGGACAGCATATTCCAATATCAACGATTGCTCTGGGTGTTCTTCACTTGTATGCCTTCAACACCTCGTCCATGACAATGTTAAACAGAAGTGGACTGAAGCTATCTCCTTGCTTCACTCCTTTATAAAATCTTAAATGAACTTCATTCCATTCAATCTAACCACGCCTTTTGGAACTTGGTAAGCTGATTAATGACACTAATGAGGTTCTGTGGTATCCTCTTCTCCTGTAAGGCAGTCCAAATCTCCTGTCTGGGAACCGAGTCAAAGGCCACTCTGATTCCAAAAAGGCGAAGTATACAGGTGCTCGGTTCAAAGCTCTTTCCGTAACCAACCTAGCTTGTTCTTCTTCCATGTAAGGTTCGACATAAACTCTTAGCCACTGCTCCATGCTCTTGCTGCAGACCTTATACACCACCAAAGAAAGGTATATGGGCCTGTAGTGTTCACATAGGGTCTGGTCTCCCTTCTTGTATAGTAAAATTTTATTCCCATTCCTCATGTATGGTCCCAGAGTTCATATCCTCTGAAACAGATTCTGTAATGCTTTCACCAAAGCTAGTCCTCCAAACTTCACAAGTTCTGGTGCTATGCCATCTATTTCTGCAGCTTTTTCAGGCTTGATATTTAACAATAATTTAAGCCTTTTATTTATGATATTTTCGTTGTTCCTTATATTGTGCTTCTTTTTCTATTTCATAATAATTATAATTATAACACAAGGGGAAATGTCTAGATCGAAAAATACCTGCTGTCACCTAGGTAAAATCAAACTACCATCTCCATGTGAATAAATACCATTTTCCGTATAAATTTTTAGTCTAAAATCTTTATCAGGTAACAGGAGCTCAACACATATGTAATTAAATGAACATCTGTGTAATTAATGCTAATTATAGAGCTAATAGGAGAGATCATGTAACCTCCTACACTCCTAATACTAAACTAAAGTAAAATATGATATATACTAAAAACTTTTTAATATAAAAGAGAGATGTAAATAATAAGAAATTCTTGGAAGATTCACAGAACTGCATCTCCCAAATAGTTTTTAGTGACTAACCGGTCATAGCTTTATCAATTAAAGTTTCATAAGTTTCCTTCATTTCCCATTACCTTCTCACATTTTGAAAAGAAGCTCTCCAATCATGAAATTGTTACTTAAGAACAAAATATTGATTAGAATTGAATAACAGTTTTAATATTTAAATTTCAAGTTTAGGATCAGATTTTAGAAGTTCTGATTTTTTTTCTTTTAATTTTTGTCTTATTTTTTTTTTAAAGACTATTGTATTAATTCTTGAGATGATTTTTTGTTAATATATTGAGAATGTATATACTGTTGGATCTTATAAGTGTAGTTTGTGGTCAGTAATGTTTTCTGTTTTTTTGTTGAGTTTCCGAATTAAGTTTATTTCCTATTTTATTCCATTCTATTTGTCGAACTGTTTTGGAATGATGTACTGTGTCCATTTAATTATCTGTTGAGATATGTTCTTTCATTTTTCTTCATGTATATGATATTATATTTTTTAGTATAGTGCAATTTCAGTTTAAATGGAACGGACTAAAAATAAATAAATAAATGTATACAGAAGTAGCTTAGATTATGGTTCTAAATCTGTGATCATATTCAATTTTCCACTACTCTAAAGTCCGGGATTATTCTATCAATCACTGCTGGTAATTTTCCTCCCATATCCTCAAGTCAAATTTTTTAGTATCTGTAAGGTTGTATATATCTGGCATACATACTTTTTTCATGATTATTTTCAAGTAAACCTCATCTTTCATTTGAACAGAATGATGGTAAATGATAATGTAGTGTCTCACTTTAATCACTATATTCAGTGGTTACAAACACTAAATACATATAAACATATACGGTTGTAACAAATCCTTCTTTTGGAACATCTCAAAGAAAAAAAAGACGTGCTCTATATGAAAAAATGGAAAAATAACTGAGTTTAAAAAAATAATCATAATAATTTCCATACCATTTCCATCCATAGTGATTTTGCTAGTATTTATCTTGTTGACAAAGTTACGGGACTCTGTATATTATATTGTAGGTAGTTTCTCAAACAGCCTCTGTAATCCAAACCTCCTGTAATCTATAAAAACTCTGCAACATTTAGTTTGGATTACTGCGATTACCGTTTATAGGGAAATTTAAAACGTTAAGTTGTTAGTTGTGGCTCATGGCTTTGTTTTAAACTCTAATCAAATGATTAAATTAAATACAGCTTTAAATAAGCTAATTATTAATTCAATTTACCTCTAAATTAAATATTCCTTTATTTGGATGCAATTTAGGTACCGTATTCCACATAAGTCTGTGGCTCTTTATTCCATTTATTCTTTTGAATCAGCCGATTAAAGTTATCGAAATTACATTTGTTGATAATCTCAAATATCTGGAGATGCACTTAGATTGATCGCTTCTATGGAGACTGCACATAAAAATACTTAAAGAAGAGTGTCTAAAAAGGATCGCCCTGCTCAAGTGTCTTTCCCCAATGAACTGGGGAGCAGATACGAAAAGTCTGTTAAATATATATTCCACGACCATCACTAGTAAATTAGACTATTTCTCAAGTGTTTACAGTACCGCATCAAAGAAAACTTTAATGATGTGATGTTGTACACAACTGTGTTTTAGGAATATGTACTGGATCATCAAACTTCTGAAAGTCTGCTCTGTGTTCAGTGGAGAGATTATTGTAATTAGAAAAGTTTTAACATACATTGAGACAACTGATAGTAGCAATTGGGTCATGATAACGGACTCAAACAGTGCAATTCTAGCCATCAAAAAGAAAAACTGACAACCATACTGGCGAGAGCTATTAGAAATATTTGGTGGAAACTAACAGAAAAGGGTAAGGAAATAATATTCTTTTGGGTCCCTTCACATTGCAGAATTGTCGGAAATGAACAAGCTGCCAACATGGCAAAGAGCCGAGAAAGAAATACAACAGTTATAATTAACGAAATGTAGCAGAACAAATGGCAACAAAAATAAGCCAAATTAAAAGAAATAAAAATCCATTGTTCGAAATGGAAAACCTGTAACTGATTCTCTAGGAAAGACTAGACAGTCTTCTTCTTCTTAAGAATTAGCTATTGTGAATTTTCATATGCTTATTTACTAAGAGTACTAGACCGATCGAGTTGAAATCGAGCTGTAAGGTGCAAAGAACAGTCCAACATATCATTTAAGAGTGCCCAGTATCTAAGAATATAGGGAAAAAAATGGATATGACTCAGGGCCTAAAAGAAAACCTCACTGACAACGAAAAAGCTGTGAAAAAAAATGAAATTATTAAAAATTTTGAAATTCTACAACAGAGTATGATCAAAAGATGTTGCCAATTACCCTACAGGGTAGAGGCAACAATAGAAATAAATAAATTTATTTATAATAGTTACAATTAATTAGTGCTTACTTGATAATATATAAGATAATTATTAATATACAAGATTGATAAAAAGATAAAATAAAGGTTACTTTCTTGAGCTTTAAGGGTTTAGTTTATAAGACTTATTCCAGTAAATTTGATTAATTTTTTTTTTCAAAAACTATGATTATTCATAAGAAAAAATAAACTGAGTTTTAATTTACAAATTAGATTTTTCCTTCAGTTTTTACTACATACTTAAGATAAAGATACAATATTTTAAATAACCTTTTTGTTTTGTATTTCTGAATATTCACATGTAGAAAATCGACCAAAAATGCTCAAAACCACATTTCTATTAAAATTGTATTGACAGGTTTTTTGCAGTATGGCAGGCAATATACAGAAATAAACAATTTAAATAAGTCTTTTTTTTTGGCCAGTTTGGTAATTTTTTACAGCTATAAATTACTCCATACTTTAATCATGTTTGACTAGTAATTATTTTAGTTTCAAATTGACTACTTATTTAATTTTCAGAATACCAACTATTTATGTCAAATTAGTTTTTATTTATTTTTTTCTGTACTCCTCTACCTCAATATTTTAGGCAATTTGGGAGGGCAGGAGGTAAAATAAATTTAGATACAATGCATTCAAAATTTCTTTTTGAACTTTTACAGGAGTGATGTTGATAAACTGCAATTCCAAGTTGCTATATACATTCCCTTTTTGACCTTTGATGCCACCTACGATGTTAATGCCAAAATTCTTCAGCTTAACGTGAAAGGAAAAGGTCCACTAAGAGCTAATGCAAGTAAGTAGTAACATATTTATATAAATTATATTAAATATCACTCTAGAAATAACACGTCACGTGACGTCTAGAAAAATATGTTTTTCTTTTCTTCATACATCCTTAATTTCGAAAGTTTTACATTTTTAACATGAAACTTTACATTTGCATTAAAAATAAATCCTGCACATTTATACAGCCAATGATGTTCTTTTCCTTCTCCTGTAAAATTTAGTGTTTTTGTGTTATATCATTATTCTTACAGGTGATCAATAAGTAAATTTTTGGTAATGTATCTATTATTACAAAATTTAATGTAGATTATATTATTTTTGCTGGTTGTAAAGTTATATATAAAGAGATAAAATTTGTATTTGCAAAAGGAAAAGTTATTATTATTCACAGTTGCTTTTGACTTCTCTGTCATAGAAATTTCACAATTTGGATGAAATTAGCTGGAACTTCAAGTGCAGCTCTCAAAGAGGCTATTTCATCAACAATAATATGATTTATTGCTTAAATATTTAGCTTCAGTTTATGCTATCCATGGATGTTAAAAATTGCTGCCAGAATGTAAAAAATATGTTTACAATATTATAAAGATTAGTACTCAATAGATAAATTTTATTTATATGTATATAAATATATTATATATATATTTACAACTTTTATTTAATCGACCTTTGAGTATTAAATTTAAACATAACCATTTAATTGGGAATAAGGTCACTTATTAATTATTTAATAAACTACTGGATGTTCATTTCCTCTATGTTTTGATCCCGGTATTTTTCTTTTTATAAGTTAACGATGGGATCCTCTTCAAAGTTTTGAAAATAGAGCTTCGATCAGGCGAGGGACACACCAACAGTCTCAGCCCTGTCCACTAGCACATATATTAAGCTACTCCATACAGTAGCTTTTCCAAATTAAATGGTTATGTTTAAATATATATATATATATATATATATTTTATTATTATTTTTTTTTTTTTTATTTCCCTACGTGGTAACCCCACACAAGGATCGTTTATTTGATTTTCCTTCATGCTCCATGCCTTAAAGACATACTACATGAATTACATTTGTTTACAATTGTTTTTTTTCTAGTTTCACATGATTTACATTTTTAGTTTACATATATATATATATATATATATTTTCATTATATATATATATATATATATATATATATATATATATATATATATATATATATATATATATATATATATATACATATATATACATATATATAACATATATCATAGATTTCAAAAGCTAAACTTTTATAGCAGTTAAAATTAAAAGTTTTTTTAGTTTCTATGGTTTTAAATAAAAGAAAATACAAATATAAATAATTTATTCAATAAAACACAAATTTATAGAACCAATGAAAAATTTGTAGTAATTACATCATAATTTCTTAAGGAAGAAACTTTCCGTCTAAAAAAACAGAAAACGTGCAATGTCTGTGAATGATAGTTGATTTACTTTTCATGCATAATTTTATATTACTTTATACATATATTCAAACATATAAATCCAAATTTCAAATGCTCCAATTTCTAGTTATCATGTAATATTTTGCTTACTTTTTACTTGCTCTCCTAAATTCCTGTTTTTATATCACGACTACAGATATGTTTTTAGGCTTTTCATCAATGACTAACTTATTCCATTCTAAGAATCAACACTTCTAAATAGCCTTCTTGATTTTAAATTTATTTACATATTATGATCAAAAATGAAAATATATATATATTTCTTACATGCATAATTTCACATGAAATTTTAAAATTAACCTAATATAACTCCGTAATACTATTATATTTAACTTCATCGATTCCACCTTTTAAGTAAAATCTATATAATATTATTAATACCACCAATCAAAATTATATATATATATAAATAATGATAGGTTTTTATCGTATAACATGTATTGTTAATGGTTTGTTTTGCTAATAAATATACTTCTTCAGCATATCGTGATATTTTCTTTTTATTATTGAATTTATTAACATTTAAAATGCATCCTCATTTCAGCTGACATTGATGGAACAGGAATATTGAAAGGAAAGAAGATAGTCAAAGATGGAAAACAATATGTTGCACTTGATCTTGATTTAAAACTGAAAATAAAGAATTATCATGTCCATCTCGAAAACCTCTTCGATAATGATCCAGCTCTCAGTAAGTGATTTTTTAAGTTTATAATTGTTTTATTACTTATTATGTATATTAAAAAAAAAACCTGTACCACTACAACCCATGAACCACAACCCACGGTTGTGCAAGGAGGTGATTTGACCTAGATCATGCTCAACCTCCAGATTTTCCCCCCTTAATCAATTATTTAATTAAGGGTACCCACTTTATAGGTATATATATATATATATATATATATATATATATATATATATATATATATATAAATATATGTAAAATTTGTTTATTGTTGCATAAACAACTATTCTTAATACTGAAATAATGCTATTATGGATTGATTCCAGAGCATTGCAAAAAATGTTCATAACCACTATATCTTAATATGAAACAATAATTTATAACAAAATTGAGTAGTTAAGAAAAATTTTTCATGTTATAATGTAATGTAATAATGGCTTACTTTCCTTTTCAGATGAAGCAATTAACGTTGCTCTTAATGATAATAAAAGGGAATTGATGACAGCTCTTCGACCTCAAGCAGAACAAATTGTAACAAAAGTTTTACTGAATATTGCAAACAAAATTACTCAACACTTCACATATGATGAACTTTTCCCCCTAAAATGAATTTTCCATTTCTGATCCATGACAATTTTTAACCACCAAAAATTTGATATCAAAACTATAAGTACATATATTTTTTCTTATGTATACCATTAATTTTGGACTATTGTAGACTAAATTAAAATAACAGAGTTCAACCAACATGTGAAAATGTATTTATACTATGTAAAATAAAAAAAAACATTAAAGTTTTAAAAAAATTAAAACTTTGCATGAATAATTTATTTTTTCCTTAAATATGGTAGACCTACTAATGAGGAACATCGCTCCAATAATGAATACTTTGAACTTAATACCATTAAAAAGAATAATAAAAGAAAAGAAAAAGAAAGTATGAATGAGGAGAAACAAAAATTAAATCAATCAAAGACATAAAACATGTATTTCTAAAAATAAAAACACGTGTCTTAGGGGAAAAAATGATATCAGGCATTTTCAGACTCCATTGAAATCAATTTGATACTAGTGGAGTTTTCACAAACCCTTTAAATGTGTTGCTAAAATTATAAAATAATTAATCACTCATTTGCTAAGCTTTGGTACTAAATGCTCTGAACAGGCTACAAAATGTTTTTATAATTACAATGAAAAATATAAATGTTTCACAGATCCATTATGTTTAATCAATAAATTATATTTTACTTACAAGTTTCTTTTTATTAACAAACATGAATTTGGTTTATTTTTCTCCTCAGTATTTTTAAACCCTGAAAAAAATATACTTTAATTGTTTATGTACTTATATTACCTTTAGTAAGTAATATTATCTTTATTACTTTAATAATATTACTTATAATTACTTTTGAATAATAAAAAATTAAATAAATATTTTTTTTTAGTATTTTATTCTAGTGTACACGATGCATTGTAAGTTATACTGCAGCATGAAAATATCCACAACTAGGATTTTTGAATTTTAAGTGTCAGCTTTACATATTTTGGTAAATAAAAAAAATGAAACCAACTTTGTTGAAATTCTTAAAAGTGAATAAATCAGGCCTGAAGGTTAGGATCATTAAGTTGAGAACACTATTTATTATTATTTATTTATTTATTTACCAACCCTGCCGTGCCTAGTAGGCAATACGGGTTCGCAACTACACCTCTGGACAACCGCCGTGCCTTGTAGAGCTCTCTCTTAAGGTTTGTTAAGGCCAGCGTCCACCATGGGACAGGTCGAGCTTTCGCCTTCCGGTGCTGAAGGGATTCCTCAGCGGCATCACAGACAATATTAGTGATCCTAGACACCCTGTAATCCAGGTCATTAGTCTGTTCTATTTCCGCTTCATCCCATTCATCATCTACCAATTTTCCCTCCAGCGTCGACCGGAAGGCATTCCAATCTGCCCTACGGGTTAGATAACCCTTGGCAGTACCGTGGGAACTTTCTGAATTTTCCACCAGCCTGAAGGATATCGCTTGGTGGTCGGAACTCGTCTCAGATCGGAGGGTCCAATCAACGATGCGATTGGCTATTAATGGCGTTGCCAGTGTAACGTCAATCCAACTCTGCCCCCTAGTGCTAGAGAACGTAGGGGTAGCAGAGGGATTGTTTAATACTACTAACTGGTTACGGGAAATAAATTCGCCTAGCTTTGCGTCTCTTCTATTCGTTTGATTGGATCCCCAGACCGTGTTCCAGGAGTTGGTATCTGAGCATATGATCACATTTCTGGTGGTAGCCGTGATCATCTCCATGGCGGATATGTCTTCGTCAATATCACTGCTATCAGGTAGGTAGGCTGATACTAACGTAAAAGCTACATTACCCCACTTGAAATAGCAAGCGACGGAATCCGCCATAGTATGCTGTCTCAGATCCATCACATCGAGGTTCGGGTTATTAACCACTATAGCAGCCCTGGGCCTCCTCTCTCCACTGCTCAAGGCGATAACCCTCGATGTGAGGCCAAACCCCGTGACTATGTTCCCACGGCAGCTCGGTTCTTGGACCGCCATTATGTCGTATCGTTGGGAGAGAGCACGAAGTTCATCTGCCACAATATGTCGGCGGCCCATGTTGAGCTGGAGGATGGTAAGCTTACTCATAGAAGGTTCTTTTAGCTACCTCTTTGGCCCACTGTAGATGAACAGGGCATTCCCTGCTACCCGCCTTGTGTTTCCTTTGAACAACGGGAGCATTTGCCCGCGCGCAATTTATGCAGGTTGGGCTAGCCTGTTCTCTTTTCTTTGGACACTCTTTAATTACATGGCCACTAGCTGAACACCAAATGCAGACTACTGCATCTACTGTGCACGTGGCCTTGGTGTGACCGTAGCCCTGACATCTACTGCATCGAGGAGCATCGACATAATCTTTAAAGGTTATGGTCCACCATCCTCCGTCTAGGCTTCCTATTTCGAGAAGCAAGAATCGGACTGTTGGATGCACCCCTAGTACCCAATTTTTAGTAAAACCATTTCTGGCCACTGAAGAGAATAGTGGCCGCAGGTCATCCATGATCAGCGGAGTAAGTTGAGAACACTATAAAAAAAATAAATAAAATACAATTCCCGTTTTTTTTTTCATTTATTTTAATTAGTTAGTGTAGAGAAATAGTTAAGATTGTCCCTAAAGTTTCTACATCTAGAAGCTGTACCATTGATTTCTTGTTGACATTATATGTTTCTGCTATATCAAGTAAGTATTCTTTTTCCATATAGAATTAAAGCAGTTGAACAAATGTAAATTCTTCTACATCCTTAAAGGTTTTTTTTTTTTTTTAGTTTAGTACTTAATGAGAAACATCATTTTCCAAGCCAGGATCATTTTCAACTGCTTGGATTTTTCCAGATCTATTGAAAGATCATCTGCATTATTTATAGATTCTAGTCATGCTTCATTATGGTATCGAGACTCAAGAGTCAGATGTCTGGAATTGAACCTGACCCCAATATTTGGCGTTTCTTTTACATGAAAAACAGTGTAAACGACATTATCATCATTTTATTGCAAAAAGTCATTAAGTGACATTTCAAAACCACAAATAATTAAGAACATTGATGCATTTTCCATTTGTGAAACCAGAAAATTGTTAACTTAGTGTAAATTGAAATTAGTGCAACCATATATGGTAAATAAAAGGGTGTATGCAATTCTCATTCGCACACAATGTTTATTATAGATAATTAAGATCAAAATTCACAAAAACGTATTTGAAAGTTGATCTATATCAAAAATGCATTTAATGACTTTTTGCAATGAACCAACTTTATAATTTATATAAAGTTATATTTATTATATAACTGTTGTAATTTATTGCTCATTATTATTTTCATTGATGTTATTATTGAATGAAATCAGGATTTTAAATGATAATTGAAACTTGTTTACAGTTTGAAAATTAAGGAAAATAAATTTCTTAAGCAATGTTTCAGTTTTCATCCTCTATAATCTCTTATAGTGGTGAACTAAGCATTTCTAATTATTATTTAAAATATAAGAATATGATTAAATATTCAGAAAATATATTAAAAATATAAATGTTAAATTTAAAAACATCATCTGAGACACTTTTTAAAAACTTAAATATGGAAGTTACTAGTATTTATAAATTGAAATTAGCAATGCACATATTAAAAGTCTAAATGAGAATCTGAGCAAAACAAAAAATAATGAACCAGTAAACGATATTTACTGCATTAAAATTAATTAATGAATTTATAAATTTGTCTCAATATCATCTTCTAAAGTTTAAAATATTTTTATAATATTTGTTTTAAAATTTAAAAGGATAAGAAGAGCAGATGAAATGCCAGGAAATGAATAACATCTATATTGTAAGAAATGAATTATTAAATGCAGTATTATTTTATGAATGAAAATGAAACTAAGGATCATACAAGTGGTGGGGTATTTAGAAGGTATGCTAGAAGGTATGCTTATAATATATCATTGGAAAGCGAAGGATTGTAGAGAAATGTAATAAATAAAGTTGTAGAAGGTAACGGAGAGAGATGAAAAAATATAAATAATAATTTCTGAAAACTAACATTATTTAACGTAAATCACATTTTTCCAAGGAATTTAAAAGGAATATTCTTACTAAATGTAAACGTTCAAATTTCTTTCAAGTTTGAAAAAAAAGGTATTTAAAATCCACGGAATCAAGGCCCTAACAATGTTTAAAATACTATTTCATTGGATTTGTGTGAAAGAAAAATTGAAATATAAAAATATTTCATGGATATGTAACCTTAAATACATTTTCCGAAGTTTAATAACTCTAGAACTTAAATAATTAGGAATCTATCATCCGTTTATTCCAAAAAATCATCATGTAAACTTAAAAAATTAAATTAGTGAATAATTTGATGAATTTTCCTTTGTGTTATTCCAACAGTATCCACTCACAATTAGTTTGACTTATCTCTGACAGGCAATGCAGTCTCGTTATTCCATTGTAGTAAACTTTGCAATGGAAGATGATTTGTTAACAGTAAGCTTTAAGATTTAGCTCGGTTAAAAATGCACTTCAAAAATTTTATAATAGCCCAATACTGCCAGAGAATTATTTATATTCAAGTAGAGCGGTAAGTGAATATTCTCAATTAATTTGGCGTAGATATATTAAATTTTATTTAGCATATTTTAAGATTTTATAGAATACTTTTTATACTCTTTAATAAATTCTAATTTAATTTTTTAATTGACTCACGGACTAATGTCAATTGCCCATACCTATTGCAATCAAGCTGGATGAAAAATTAAGAGAGTCATTTATGAATATAAATAAACTAACAAAAACGGGAAACAGATAATTCATAAAGGATCTGATAGATAAATCAAACAAGGACGTTTTTTTTTTTCAGGAAAATCCTGACCGTTCCTTCGAACAAACACGAGATAAATAATAATCATAATAAATCATAAAATAAAATGATTTAATTAATTATAAATAATTCTTCAGCGTTGTAAATTATAAATTAAAATAATAGACGATGTTGAAATCATTTAAAATATTATAACCATTATTGAGATAACAAGTTAATGAATGATTCAGCATACATAAAAACGATTTATACTTTGTAATACATGTTATTAAGAAATCAGAAGTTTGACATTAAACGAGTATTGTAAAATTATTGGCAAACAAGTGGAAAAGGTCAACGACGTGCCTTGGAGCTTCTTAAGGGAAAATTTCAAAGATGTCTTCCTACGAAAAATGTAGGCATAGTAATTTAAAGAAACATAGATAAAATTATTATTTATGCAATATCTGTAATCACTATAATCATGGATCGAACTATATTATCTAAATTGAAAGAAGTAGGAATAGTAGGAAATATGTGGTCTTATATAAAAATTTTTCTAACTAATAGGGAATTTTCAGTGAGGGTAGGAAATACTTTGTCGTCAAGCCACCGCTTGCAAAGGGGTACCCTACAAGGATCTCCTCTTAGTTTGACCCCATTCCTTCTTGCAATTAATGGTATAGGGTCCATTATCAAGACCCCTATCAAATGTTTCCTATTTGCAGATGATATTGTTATCACAGCCAGAAGCAAATCTATTCCCTATATATAGTGGAGGCTACAAGAAGTGATGGATAGAGTAAAGGATTGGTCAAGTTAAGCTGGATTTAAGATATCATCTTCGAAGTCGAAGACAAATGTTTACACATTTGTAGAAGTCGAAAGTGTCAGCAGAATAATCCACAAATATCTATGGAAGGTTCTTCAATTGAGTATACAGAAAGTCACAAGTATCTAGGAATGATAATTGATAAGAGACTGAATTGGATACAACATATTACATATTTCAGAGAGGAATGGACAAAAAGACTCAGAATTCTTAAATGTCTCTCACACTCTAGCTGGGGTGCCGATAGATCCACTCTAATACCAATCTATAATACGCAGCAAAATAGACTATGCAGCGCAGATATATAGTACAACCAGCAAAACAATATTGAGGATGTTAGATTCAAGACATAATTCAGCCCTTAGAAAATGCCCTGGAGCGTTTCGAACTTCCTCAATCGACAGCATCTATGCTAAATCTGGAGAAACATCCTTGAACTTGAGACGAGAATATCTATCTCTCAAATATATTGCCAAATTGAAAGCATCTTTCCACCACCCATTAACTCCATATTTATTTTCAGAAGAATCAGAAAGAAACGGACTTAAAGATGTAGAAAATAACATTTTTAAACAAGTAATTTACAAGGCAATAACTAAAATAAACATGGATACGAACATTATGAGACCCATCCCGGAATTAAAAATCCCGCGTTAGAAAAAAGACAGGCCCTTGATTAATAAATCCATGACTAAAATTGCAAAAACATATCCAATTGAAATACAAAAATCTTTTTTAAAACTGACAGAACAATATAAAAATTTCGATTTTATATATACGGATGCATCCAAAGAAGGAGACAGCGTAGGATGTGCTTTAGCGAGTAACCACATACTATTTAAATTACCTGGAGAAGGCTCCGTATTCACAGGAGAGGCTGTCGATAACCCATATCCCAGAAACTCTATAATTAGGGAAATACTTCTCATTTGGTGGGAGGTAAAAAATAAAGGAATAACAGTTGTCTTGGTATGGGTACCAGCTCATTGCGGAATTTTAGGAAATGAAAAAGCTGACAATGCAGCCCATTTAGCAAGAAGTGGAGGAAGTGACTAGATTGAAATATATCACTTTTGAAGACTGGGTATACGAAACCAAGAAAAAAGAACTGGCAGAGTGGGTAAAAGAGTGGAGGATCAAAGAGTGTAAGCTGAAAGAAGTAAAACCTAATTGCGATAAATGGCTCACTAGCACCAGAAGTTGCAGACGTGAAGAAATTATACTGTCTCGCCTTAGGATTGGGCACTGCCAGCTCACCCATAGCTTTTTTTTTTCTTTTTTTTTTTCTTTCACTTACTTATATATGTATATGAAAAAATGTTAGATCATTTTAAGCTGTTTTAGATTGAACGTAACTTTTTTTATCTATGTCGTTCTAAACCGAGATATAGCGTAAACCAAAATAAGTTCAAAATTTCAATGTTTTTTTGAGCACTGCAGCGAACACACCGGGTTTTGAAGGGCGGAAACTTGCATTTTTTTTTTTTATAATCACTACATACCTGATAATATAAAAAAAGACATTTGAATTGCCCGAGCTTTTTCAAGGTAGACCCCTTCTTTAGTGCTAATTTGACTGGGCTACAGTACGTAGGAATGCCGCCAAAAAAAAAAAGTAATAAAATTTGCATTGTACAGAAGATAAATTTCCTGCGAAAGTGAAAGCTCGAAACAATTTCTTCTTTGGAAACTCTTACAATGGAAAATTACTTAGTTGCTGTAGCGCTTACCAACAAATATTTTCGATCTAGATATGAACCCACCCTTTCACCCCAATGGCAAAACGTCATGCAGCTCTCTCTCTCTTCTTCGATCTATTTCTAGTGCTAGGATGGTTTGTTTTTCTAAATAGTTTCTCCTTCCACTTGGCTTGGTATACTCCGCCTCCTCTGGTCGGACCTTCGTCAGTTAGTTCCAAGGGCTAGGACATTGTAACCCTGAGGTACTCCGGGTTCACTATTCATTGTTTAAATCGTTTCAAATATAGCGATGCTCATTTGGTTAAACTTACTAATCTTTATTGGAGTTTTCGACATTACTGTAGGAAAAATACGTGAGTATATAATATCAAATCGAATATGTGATAGAATGTATATCTTTGACTTTACTTAGGAATTAGAACTTTATGGATGGTTTTGAATTAACGTGCTTCAACGCAAAGCCTTACTTTAAGAAACTTAGGATATTTTCTGATAAAAAATTATTATTAATATTGCTTATTTTCTTAAATACCTACCTATGATATAGGACATGTGGTTATTAATAAAAAAAAGGTTTTAAAAATCGTAGCTTACATTTTATTGGGTATTATTTATTATTTATTGACTACTGTGCCTGATAGGCAATACGGGTTTTAGCAGCAGTGAGATGTTAAGCGTTTCTGCGTAACTAAACACTATTGCTAGAAAAACAGAAATTTCATAAGCTGGGTCCATAGTTTGATCGCCTTTGTTTAAGTTTGGACACGATCTTCTTCTGCTCTTCCGTCCAGCGGCCTTTTAGGCGGTGTACTTCTTCTTCTTCCTAAAGAGAAATGATTTGGGCCTATAAGTGATTTCCACTCTGAAATAAAATTCGAAGTGCGGACATTTTTCCGCATCCATGAGCTGAGGAAAATCTCTCTCAGTCAAAACGTAGAGACCGGTTCCTATCAGCAGTTTGGCTCTCAATACATGCTACGACAATGTGCTCGGCTGTCTCTGGGATTCCGCAATTGGGGTACAAGGGGTCGATATTCTTTCCAAATTGAAAAAGCTATGCTTGGAAGCCCCCGTGTCCAGTGAGTAGTTGGGAGAACCATAAACCAATATTATTGGGTACTACTTATCGAAAATAAAATAAGGTTAAATATATAGCTTGTTCAACGTTCCCATATGTTTCAATATCATTGGATCCATTGAATCTCTACAATTCCACTGTCAAAGAAACTTTATGAGTTATAGTGGCCAGATGAATTAAAGAATGAAAAGTTTGTAAACAGTTCAAAATTAAATGACTTAAATAGTTTGGGGATAAAATTCAGGGCTGCTGCAGTTACGGTACCCATAAACGAGCAGAATATCTCTGTACTTTCTGAAAGTCTCTTTTATCATTGATATTAGCCAACTAATTCACTGTTTTCTTAAAAAAAAAAAATGTCTACTTTATGACCATGTACTTGAAATGTTTTTGAGCGATTCAATAAAAAACGAGACCATTGGTCACTACAAAATTGGTCTTAATCTCCTTTCCGTTCAACATCGACCCATGCACAAAATGAAATTTTTTGTTGGAAATTTTGTCTAGAATCACCCCCAAGAGTTTGGCCATTAAGAACTGAGAGAATGATTAGCAATCATTTTTGCACAAAAAATAAAAGTGTAGCGTTGAAACAATGTTCCTCTCAGCGAAAATTCCATTGACTTTAAAATATTTTGATTACCGATTTATCATCGACACTCCGTATTAAGCTTCCTAAAGCAAAAGATAAACAAATTTTGATACAAGAATAAAAAAAAAATAATAAAACGTGTGCAACTATTTTTTTCGTTTCAAACTTTAAATTCTTTTATTTTAAAACTTTTAATTTGTTGATAACATTTAAAGATCGCATTGCATGTATAAACTTTTTATTTTCACTTACCTATATATGGATTATATAAATATAGTAACAGAAAATATTTCGATCGTGAATCTCAGTTTTCAACGAAAATACATATTTTGAGGTCCGGTGAGTGGAAATAACCAATCTCGCAAAATGGCCCGTGTGTGTGTGAACAGCCAAAAACGAAAAGTCGTACGAAACTTAAATTGCGTATTCAAGGTTTGTATATGGCGCCAATGTGACAGCAACTCTTTCGTTAGAATCGGCCAACCGGAAGTGGCACTTTATATCAAGGGTGATACACATTTATCAGACTTTCTCGAAAACAATTTTGATTAAACTTGGAATATCAGTGTATTATTAATTTGTTTTTAATATAAGCAAGGTCTTATCCACATTTATGTGACTTTACAGGGCTTAAATGCCCAATGCTCATATACGTCATCCTCTAAAGTATGCAGCTAAGTAATTTGGTTTATTTTTAAAAAATAACTCTCTCTCTCTCATTAACAGTAACCATAAAAAATGGCTAAATATAACTTTTGAAACAATTTGATAATTGAATAAAGGAGTAAAAAAGAAAAATGCTTATTCAGGTCGAACGTGTATTTCCGGAAATAATAGTTTGAAGGTATGCTTATAATATATCATTGGAAAGCGAAGGATTATAGAAAAAATAACATGTAATAAATAAAGTTGTAGAAGGTAACGGAGAGAGACGAAAAAATATAAATAATAATTTCTGAAAACTAACATTATTTAACGTAAATCACATTTTTCCAAGGAAATTAAAAGGAATATTCTTACTAAATGTAAACGTTCAAATTTCTTTCAAAATAATTGGAAAATGGGTTGACTGTCGTGGATAATGAAGAGAATAGTTGGGGTGGTCAGTCATAAAAGAAGGCAAAAATAAATGTTCTATCAAGTTTGAAAAATAAAGTATTTAAAATCCACGGAATCAAGGCCCTGACAATGTTTAAACTACTATTTCATTGGATTTGTGTGAAAGAAAAATTGAAATATAAAAATATTTCATAAATATGTAACCTTAAATACATTTATCGAAGTTTAATAACTCTAGAACTTAAATAATTAGGCATCTATCATCCGTTTATTCCAAAAAATCATCATGCAAACTTAAAAAATTAAATTAGTGAATAATTTGATGAATTTTCCTTTGTGATATCCCTACAGTATCCACTCACAATTAGTGTGACATATCTATGACTGGCGATGCATTCTCGTTATTCCATTTTAGTAAACTTTGCAATGGAAAATGATTTGTTAACAGTAAGCTTTAAGCTTTAGCTCGGTTAAAAATGCACTTCAAAAATTTTATAATAGCCCAATACTTCCAGAAAATTATTTATATTCAAGTAAGTGAATATTCTCAATAAATTTGGCGTAGATATATTAAATTTTATTTAGCATATTTTAAGATTGTATAGAATACTTTTTATACTCTTTAATAAATTCGAATTTAATTTTTTAATTGACTCACGGGCTAATGTCAATTGCTCATGCCTATTGCAATCAAGCTGGCTGAAAAATTAAGAGACTCATTTATGAATATAAATAAACTAACAAAAACGGGAAACAGATAATTCATAAAGGATCTGATAGATAAATCAAACAAGGACGTTTTTTTTTCAGGAAAATCCTGACCGTTCCTTCAAATAATCACGAGATGAATAATAATCATTAATAAATCATAAAATAAAATGATTTAATAAATTATAAATAATTCTTCAGTGTTGTAAATTATAAATTAAAATAATATACGATGTTGAAATCATTTAAAATATTATAACCATTATTGAGATAACAAGTTAATGCATGATTCAGCATACATAAAAACAATTTATACTTTGTAATACATGTTATTAAGAAATCAGAAGTTTGACATTAAACGAGTATTGTAAAATTATTGGCAAACCAGTGGAAAAGGTCAACGACGTGCCTTGGGGCTTCTTAAGGGAAAATTTCAAAGATGTCTTCCTACGAAAAATGTAGGCATAGTAATTTAAAGAAACATAGATAAAATTATTATTTATGCAATATCTGTAATCAATATAATCATGGATCGAACTATGTTATCTAAATTGAAATATGCACCAATGGCTACAGTAAATATAGAAAATATTTTAATTTAAAAAAAAAATTTAATTTGGAGTGACTCTCTTCCTATTAAAATGGGGTGTGAGTCTAGAAATAATTTCCAACAATAAATTTAATTTTATGTATGGGCCGATTTCGAACGAAAAAGGAGTTAATCCAATATTATCTTTTTTTAAGTTGTCAGGTCATATCTTTCATAAGAAGCGATAACATAAATAATGTATAAATCAGGTAATTAAATTTGCTTTATAGTAAACTAAATAAAATTTACTTCAAATATAAGTAGAGTTTGAATTTGTCAAAAACATTTAAAGGAAACTTATGATTGACCATGATAAGTTGTGTTTTTCATTAAATCATGGATTATTCTCAATTTTTTTTTTATCATGTTACAACTATACTGAAGATAGTCTCCTTTTATACAAAACTTCCTTGTTTAATAAGCTTTAACTGCATATCAATTTAGTTGAGGTTTGTTGCAGCACAGAGATCAGATTCACTTCGATTTGATTTTAAAATGATGTGATTTGATATTCTGTTACTTCGGAGAATCTTTATTTTCAGCAAAAATAATCGAGAAATTTTAATTGTAATTAAAAAAAGAAGATTTAATTCCTTCTATATCTTGTAAACTGACATCTATTTTAGTAAATTAAGTATTAAAATACACTTTTTTTTCATTCAAAAATATGTTAAAAAATACTGCTTTTTCCAAAAATTTATTATCTAATGTTGGAGGAGACTAAAAAGACGCTGAATGAGAGTATTCAGACCATTCAAAAGCTGAAACAGTTGTGGAGAGATATAATTATAAGAACTTGTTCAAACTTTGATTTCGTTCCGTTTATTTTATGTTTATAAAATATAATACAATCTGAACTACATTATTTCTTATAATCCAATACACTTAAAACAAAAGTTTAATGTTATAATAACCTTATATTATAATTATAATATATTATATTATAATTATAATAAACTTCCTCCTACGAAATTATAAGATCACAGGGTGTATTGTGTTAAATTCGAGCTACAATAATCTTAAATAAGTTTTTCGGATTTAACAATTTTAAGAGATTCTTTTCGTATGAATAAGAAATTTTGGATAAAATAAAAGCTTCGGTATGCTTAGATATTTCAAGTTGTCAAACTGTTGATTTTAGTAGTTTTAATTAACTTTGAACTTATTAAAGAATTTTTAAAATTTTATTTTTTCCTTTCAAGAAATTTGTAACTGCGCAGTAGAGTATCTAGTAAATTTTGTGATAAATGATTAGTTTCAGTGAATTTTTCTTGATAACGGCCTCGAGTTCCTGATTTATTTCTGAAGGGGCTGAGAGATATTAAAGAATAAATAATTAATTACTATTTTTTTTTTATTTTATTACTCTTTATTTATTTCGATTAATGCGACATTTTCTCAAGGGACCAGGAGACAAAAATGAAGGTACCGGTAGCCGACTACATTGCATAGTGTTTAAGTGGGGAGATGTTGCAGTAAGGGAAAGGAATTTGAAACATTGTGTAAATTACGTTGGCTGCTCCCTTATTTGTTAATTAGAGACACCAGGAATGTAATTAACTTGCAAAAATGCATAACGGCAACAGAATATAAGCTTTAAAGTACAAAAAAAATGCCCAAAAGGATGCCAAAATTTGTTTTCCTTTTTATAAACCCGGATTTTAAACTTAAAATCCTCAAATATGCATTAAAATATGGAGCTCAAATATTCGTACGAAATAAAATAAACACAACAGTATAGTTACCGTCAAAATTGGTTTATTTAAACGGTTGGTTGGTTGTTATGGATTTAAGGTGTAAAACCTGGAGGTTATCAACGCCGTTAATTAAGATTATATATGTTTTTATTTATAGCTATATCTACTGGTTGTGCATAAATATAATAATTAAAATAAATTGATAATAAAAAAATAACTAAAATAAAAAACAACGAATTTTTATTAGTAACAAAAAAAGTAAATATAAAGTTTCAAATATTTTTAAAGATTCATTCTTCGGATAATATATGACTTTAATTAAGAATTCTTCCTCATTTCCCAAATCAGTCTTTGTATTTGCTGGTATCCCTTTTATGTTAAACTTTCTGACATAAAAGTCATAACTCTTCGAGATAATTTAGGAATAGTATTTAATAATGGAAAAAAAATTTTAATATGCCTAAATTATTCACGTGGATAAAAATGATGCCTTGATGTATATTATAAGTATCTAACGATCAGTATAAAATTTACATTAACGCACCATGGGAATTCCCAAGGGTTAATAATTTTATTCCTAGGAATTAACAAGAATAAAACAACCTCTTAGTTTCATTCGTAGTTTGTGGTCATGAGAGAATGCGTTTTATAAAACTAATGTTTTGATTAAGAACAAAATAAGATAATTTTATAATGTACGTCAATATTAACCATGGAAATTAAATTGAATTGAAGAAAGCCTTGATAATCTATTTTTTATTTATTAATAGTCCGTGGTACATACCTCTTTTCATCAAATTATTAACATCCGAATAAAACTTCATAAATAGCTTCTACTCATCGTAACCTACAAATATCTTATTTAAGAAGATTCTCGGAATTGGGGCGTATTCAATCTGGAGGTCGATAAACTTAGTCTATTTAATAGGTACTAAAAACTCGTAGTTACCCATTTGCTTGCCACTTTAATCGTAACATAACTTGAGTACAAAGCCGAGGAAAAAGGTGGCCTTCAAAATTATTGAGCCGTTGGGCGTGACTTACACCCCCAAATTGTCAAAATAACGAGTCCATTAACAACCACGGACTATAAACTCTTGCCTAATTAGAATCGATTGTATATATTTTTTTAAATGCACTATGACAGTTCTGGAGGATTAATAATTTTATTCCTATAAAGTAATAAAACAACCTAGGGCTTTCAATCTTAATTTCTGGCAGACAGTATTTTACAAAAAAAATGTGTTGACAAAAAAAAAGTAGTAATAATCGTTACCTTTTTTATGTTAGTAAATAGAAATCATGGAGATTAATTTGAATTGAAGATTTTTTTTTACTTGTTATTTATTAAACTGTAGCCTAATTAGAATCAATTCCATGCTGTTTTATTAATAAATATTCCTGCTTTAGTAAACTACTCAATTATAAATAAGAAAAAATTAAGTACACATTAAAACAGATATAGGAAACTTTAATACCATTATACAGATATCATAAATAGAATAGACGTGTAAATATTTACATATTTTTTTCTTTTTCTTTGTATTTTTAATCAATAAATCTCAGAGACTAAGACATAAAGGGCCATAAACTGTTGTTTTTTTTAATCTGGTGCGATGGCCGTATTCCACGACTTTGATTAATTTCCTAATTATACTAAAAACAAGTATTTTCAGGAAATTGAAAGTAAAAATTCTAGAAATTACAACATTTTCATTTAAAACAATTAATTACAACATGCTTTCTCTCCCGTCTAATCTGTCAAATTTATAAGTTTTTCGTCTAAACCATTACATTATACAGTTGTATATTTTATATTCTAATTTTTACTTTATAGATTTTAATTCAATTTCGTACAACTCTTCGTTAATAAATATATACTCACCACTTTGTTAGATTTGGTTATTTAGACACATTTAAATATTCTAAATAAGTAGGAATGTGTTTTTATATAAGTAGGAATTTTATATTTTTATATAATCCGGTCTCAAGTTTCATTTCTTTATTTTTTTATTAAGCTTTCTCTTTCTTTCTTTTTTATAATTCTTTTGTATTGTTTTTTGTTATTGTATATATGGTATGCATGAATCTCACACAGCTCTGATACTCAATGTCCTTAAGTTAGGCAAAATTTATTATTTCTTAATAAAATAAGATTTAAAAAATAACAGCTTTAACACCAATTTCCGTCGAATACTCGGATTCAAAATATTTCACGATGTTATACTCTCGCTTACTATACAGTTCATTGATAATTAATTTTTATTTGAAAGCGTTCACTTCTCCAACTTACTGATAGGTATTGGGATATGTAAACTGAAACAATAAATATATCAAATACTCATTTCGGAAAAATAAGAAAAAATCAATCTAGATAAGATCAAATTAGGTTATCGATTAAATATTGTTGGTCATAGTGATAAACAGGAGAAAGTTACCCAGACATTTTGTCGCCATTAACATAATAACATGTTTTGAACATATTAAAAACCAATATTCAGGCTTTTGGAATATTCATTAAAAATATGGTACCTTAGATATTTAAAGATTTTTTCCCTCTAATGCATCAATATAATATATTTTTCTTATACATTAAATTTCGTAGCAGCAATTAAATATTAATTGTTATTATATATATTTCAATATTTTTGGTTATGAATTCACTATACGTAATAATAAAAACACTTATTACTGCACAATAGTTCTGCTTTATTTATTTTTCTTCACCAACGTTTCAGACCTAAGGCCATTTTCAAGGGAAGAAACCTATTTTAAAACAAAATTATATTCATATTGTCTGAATTGTTCTTGTTACATTAACTTAATAGTCTAATAATGAGTACTAAGTTAATGTGACAAGGGCAATTTGATTTAATTTTAAAATAGAAGCCTTTCCTTGAAAATGGCCTAATGGCTGAAACGTTAGTGTAAAGTAAAAAAATAAAGTAGGAACATTGTGGTATAGTTAGTTTTTTTCATTATTAAATATAAATGTTTTATAACATTTAACTTTTTTCAAAAATATTAAATTTTTTTGTTTGTTTCAATTTGTCAACTCCACCAAAAATTACTACGTTTGAAATGTTTTTTAAACACAACGTACTGTTTGGATGAGCTTCGAAAACTAAAATTTCTCTTTAAAAGAATTGAATTATTTTTCAATAGTATTGTTTTTTGTTTTTTTTTAAACACTTTATTGAGAAATATTACAATTTGTCACAATTAAGGACACTTATAATAGAGTTCAGAGAGTACATTCATACCGTATATACAAAAATATAAATAAATAAAGTAATAACAAAAGAATAAGAAAAAAGAACAAAAGAGGGGAAAAAAAAAAATATATATATATATATATATATATATATATATAAGTAAGTAAAAATAGAAATAAAAGTAAAACAAACATCTTATATAAAACATACCTATATACATTATTTACAATTAGCCAGGTGATCTCCGAACCAATCCTGTCCCCTGCACATGTGGAGGGAAAAGGGAGGCTTAGGAAATCCCTACGCTTCTCCCTCAGCAACTTCACTGGTATTTAAAATCAGCGGAGGATGAGTAAGAGCGCTACAGCCACAGACACTCATGACTTGAGTGGAGAATCTGGCCATTGCTAGAACTCCAAAAGGTCTCGTGGTCACTACCGCTAATAGTATTGTTAAAAATTATTTTAGCTTTATTTTATTTTTACTAATGGGGAGAAAACTTGATTTTAAACAATTTTTATGAGCAGTAGTACTTAAAAATTTAAGGAAGTTAGTCGACTGTTCTTCATATAATAGGAGATAAGCAGTCAGGATTCAGTCAGTTTTTAAGATTTTTATTGTTGCCAACTTTTCAACCCAAGCATGTTGGTCGTCTTCAGGGCATGTTACACTAGAATATATGAACACCTTCACTACTGGCAACATGCCCTGATAATTAGCCTACAAGTTAGTTTGAGTTGAAACGTTGGCATTAACAAAAATATTAAAAGCAAATTGAATTCTGATCATTGATTATTCATAGCATTCATAAAGTTATTATATTTTTTTTCAGCCAGCTTTATTCATGTGTGCAGTAGAAATCACCCTCGAATCGACCAGTGTATTATTGAATCGATAGAAGATTTGAAACCACGTCTTGCCAAAGGTGGGTGCAATAATGGTTTATTATTTTTATTTCTTTGTAAAATATGAATTTCATTTTATTGAACAACAGAATTTTAATAATGTTTTTTTTATTGGGGAGTGGGGCAGCTCAGTGTTAGGTGGGTACTGAGCTTCCAATGCTGAAGGTCCCAGGTTCGAACCCTGGCTCATGGAAGAAAATTTATTTATCTGTTTCATTGGCCGTGGTGTGACCCTGGGTCAGGAAACCCTCCTGGGGCACACCTAGCCTCTATAAAGTGGGTATCCTTAATTAAATAATTAATTAAGGGGGAAAACCTGGCGGTTGAGCGTGATCTCCTTTCCCAACCATTGACCTAGAAACAGTGCTTTTCCTAAATAGTACTAAACCCAAAACCCTTCATGGGTTGTAATGGTACAGGTTTTTTTTTATTACTATATATACTAAAATAAAAATCATTTATTTTATTCAGGAATTCCCGAGTTAAACGTCCCTTCGCTGGAACCTCTGCACCTCCCAGAAATAGCCATATCCAAAGGAGTAAACTTTAGAGCTTCTGGTACAGACCTGATCGTGAAAGGAGCATCCAAGTTTAAAATCACCAAGTTCAAGTACCAATTTTTACATCTTGTCTTTATCAAAAATGCATAAATATTCATTCTTCTTTTTGTTAGGAAGCTGTTTAATTTTCTTTATTGTTGGCAATAAAAAAAAAAAAATAAGTAACAAATAGTTCATTTGCTATAATTCACTCAAAATTTCCAAGTCGGCGTCAAAACTTTATTTCTTTTTTTTTATAAGCAATTAACAGCTAAATCCTTGTGTTTTCCTTTGTCATAATTTCAAGTATTTGTATTATATATAAAAATAATATCTGAAGTATCACATTTATGGGACTCAATTGTTATATATTTGTAAGTTTTTTATTGCCAACAACTAGAACATTATTTATTTTATTTTTTTTAATACTATAAAAACTAGCATCTAACTGTTATTTAGTATTTTTCATTCAATAACATTCAACACTACTACTTTTTTTTTACTTTACACACTACTTTTTTTTTTTTATTTTTTTTTTAATGAAAACTTCTTTAGGCGAACTTGCATTTTTTGTAGTGAATGAATTAGATGGAGTCGTCAGATCTCCGATGCATAACGCGCGAGTAAAGTCGTCTGGAGTCGTATGTATTAAAAACTATCTTAAAAACTAAAAATCGGCATATTGTAAGGGAGGAAAATGTTCGTTATTTCATCCTCTTTGTAATGAACTATTGCTAAATATTATACTTTAACGCGACGCCGTATTAGAGAGTCCAAAATGGAAAAATTGTGTCGAAAACCTAACGATAACGAGTTTTTATTGGAGATATGGATTAAAATACCTTGGAAACTAAAAATCGGATTGCGTACTGTAAGCGAGGGAATTGTTCAGCATTTCATCCTCTCTGTAATGGGCTTTTATTTATAATTTATATTTCATATTATTAATCTCGCCTTGTTGATGTTTTCACTTCAATCTTGTGGTCTAAAGCACACACCTTAGTCATTTTTTGTGGACAGAACATGGAAATTAATTTCCGTCGAAATGTTTTTTTTCGCTGTTTTTAAAGCACTACGCATTTCTATAGCCCTTTCCGATAAAGTTAGTTGAAAATTTCTATATTCATTGAGCTGCTATGTTGATAGACTAAATTCGAAAAAAAATTGCAAAAAGAACAAAAATAAAACAAGAAAAAAAATTAATTTTAAAATTCTATTAAATTTATTTATTTGTTTGTATGCCTCTAGCTGCGAGGGTCATTGGCAATCGTCAACCCACTCACACATATCATATTCTATTGTAGAATCCAATTGTTTTCAAGAAGTCCAGAAAGATTTCCACTTCTCTCTCCGCATCCTGCAACACGTCCCGGATAGTCTCCTGCATGTTTAGATTCTTTTTGATAACTGCATAATGTGTGTAATCCACGAGTATGTGGTTCACAGTTCTAGGAGAACCACACCTGACGCAAGTAGGTGGTTCTCGACCGTGGAGAAGGTAGCCATGCGCAAATTCGCAGTGACCAATTCTGGGGCGGCACAGGATAATTTCCTCTCTTCTAGACCTCCTGTTACTCGTACGCCATTTAATGACAATTAGAATACAGCCTTCTATAGAGTTGACTCCAATATTTTTAAAATTTTGATACTGGGCTTCACTCATTGTGAATGCAATTATTTATGAAAAAAGCTTTGCAAGTGTTATGGTCTAAAGTTTCTAAAGTTATGGTCTAGATTAACTGACGTTTACGATTAATGATTGATGTTAAAAATTAAAAAGGCTTCCTAAATGGACGGTCTATTGCAGATAATAATTATAGAAAACATATATTTATATAATTTTTTCAGGGCTGATATAGAAAACATAAACTACCACATAGGTCTTCATATTCCTCAGCTGAAATACGTAGCCAACTATGACGTAAATATGAAATTGCTGAGTTTAATTTTAAAGGGGAGAGGCCCAATGCAAGCTAACACAAGTAAGCAAACACTAAAATTGGCACAATAACATTTTAGACAAGTAAGTTGCTCATTTGACGATGACAATTATAGCCTTTTATCTCATATTTTTCAGCCGATGTGGAAGCTGTAGCGTTACTGAAAGGTCATAAAGAACAGAGACATGGCAAAACCTACGTGAAATTCGACTCGTTGGATCTGAAGCTGAAGTGGAAGAGATACCATGTCAAACTTGAGAACCTCTTCAACGGAGATAAAACTCTAGGTAATATTAACCAAAATAATTTAGTTTTGTCACTACCCTTATCACTACCCCCACCGGCATTTCATCCAAAGAAATATACAAGAAATAAACAGACTTCCAAATAAAAAAGCTCCTGGCTATGATCTGATCACTCTCTTTATTCTTCGACACCTACCTAGAAAAGTTGTTCTCTTTCTTACTCACATCTATAACTCTACCTTACGCACAAACTATTTTCCTCTCATTTGGAAAGTTTCCAAAATTAAAGTAATTCCTAAACCCTCAAAACCTACCATCTTCATCCTATCGTCCATATTACACTTCTTTCTATTATGGGAAAAATATTTGAAAAACTTATCCTGAACTGTGTAAAGCCTATCCTTGAAAGTAGTGAAGTGATACCAAATCACCAGTTTGGCTTTCTTTGTTATCACTTCACTGTGCAGCAGTGCCATCGGATCGTAGACACTATCTCTTTTGCTTTTGAAAAAAAGGAATACTGCTCTGCAATATTCCTTGACATAGAGAAAACATTTGATAGTATCTGGCACAATGGCCTATTATGGAAATTAAAACCGCACTTACCTTCTACCTATTTTCTAATTCTTCAATCATTTTTTCTTAACAGGTTTTTCTATGTTTCAGTAGGTCCTCCTGACTCCTCTTTCTTACCTCAACACATTGGGCTACCACAAGGTAGCGTCTTAAGTCCAATTCCCTATTCGCTATACACCTCTGATATCCCAGATCACCCTAGCACCACCATCCATTGCTTTGCTGACTACACTGCAATTCTATCTTCTCTCAAAAATTCTGCTATCGCATCAATTATCTTTCAAAACCACTTCTATGATCTTCAAAATTGATTTGCAAAATGAAAAATTAAAATCAATAGTAATAAATCTACTCAAGTGACTTATTCTCTTAGGAAAGCCTCCTATCCGCCCGTAACGATTGACAATATCCCAGTACCTTCAAAAAACTATGTACGGTACCTCGGATTCTACTTAGACAAAAGGCTTACCTAAAACATACATAAAAAGGATTACAAACTAACGGAACTGACTAGACGATATTACCAACTTTCACATCTTCTGGACTACAGATCATCACTTAACATACGAAACAAGCTACTAATCTACAACACCATAATGAGACCAATTAGGACATACGGAGGACTTTGTGGTTCGGCAAAACAAACACACATAAACAAAATACAAACAACACAATAAAAACCTCAAGCCTCGGTTAATTCCTTTGGAACTAATTTCTTAAATCCCAAAAATGTGTTATTTTCAAGATAATACAAAGTGTTCGCAGTCACACAATCTCACGGTAATTGTAATACTGCCAAAGGTTTCGGTGCTAAATGTTTCATATCGCCTTGAGGTCCCTGTGATCGAGAGTGGAGGAGTTTATATTACTATTTAACAAAGGTGTGTTTTGTCGGTACGGCATATCTTCGTTAATTCTTCTTCAAATCCTAGCGCTTCTACCATTGTAAGATCACGCAAAGGAACAAATATTGACCAATGATAAATAAAATATGTTTCCAGTTTAGGGGGCTTCAGTCCAAAACCTCTCTCTTCATCCCGTATGGATTTGCCTGTGCATCTAGTTATAACATATGGATCGCAACCCTTTGCTTTCATGTACAAAGGTGTTGGTACTAAGCTCGCTCTTATTTAGGAGCATTTCAAAAAGGATTTTCGAACTACATAGGGAAGGTTTCAAAGATGAGGTAAGAGAAGTAGGGAGAACTCACACGACCCTTCTGTGATGTCGACCACAAGTTTTTCGGTCAGCCGGAGTGATGAGACAAAAATCAAAGAAAAGATCCGTACTTACGAATTAAGTGGTAGCCAATCTTAAAATTCGTAATTACTGACTAATTAGATAATGTATAAAATGTAACTTATAAACATATTCTGAATTCTATGATTAATTATTTAAAAAATAATTGCATGATTTAATTTAAATTACAGGTGAGGCTGTGAACCATGCCCTCAACGAGAACCAGAGTGAAATCTTCGACACCATAAGGCCATTGGCCGAAGAAGTCGTCTCGGGTGTACTCTTGGAAATAGCCAATAAAATAACGAAGAAATTTACGTTTGAAGAATTGTTTCCTTTAAAATAATAAGCAATGTAGTAAAGAATATAATGTTATATATAACGTAATTTAAATGGCTGTATTATATTTTAATAAATTTCTTTATAAATTCATAAAAAGTGATGCTTTGATTGAGTTGTTTTTACTTGATTTTTAATTCCAAAGCATTATGGAATGTTTTTCTTTCCTATGATAATTTCCCAAACTTCTCAGCCAGGAAACGTTCAGTTTTATTTCATGGCGGATCCATTGAATGAATTTCAACCTTTACAAAATTGTTACTATATGCTTTTAACCTAAGGGATAATTCACCCTTCTTTCCATATCTGAAAAATACCAGGGCCAAATATAAAATATCGTCCCCACTCTTCCACTCTTCCACTCTGTTTCAGTTACTATAGTCTTACTTAGCTCGACCTTCAGTAACTTGCAAAAATATACGGACCATTACTAATATACGGACAATACCAAAAGAAAAAACTGGTGTAAATAAAAGAAATGTAATATTAATAACAATTATACATTGCCTAGCAATAAAAAATATATTGCCTTACTAAAAAACGCTACGAATTATTACATAATATTTTATTATTTCCAAACTGCTATGTACCAGATGAAGCACTGCTATCCTAATATACCGTAATAAGATTCCTAATATTTACCTAAATTATTTTTTTTTCGTCATTAATTATTTGCTTAGAAAAGACAAAATATCGATTGCTACGATTATCGATTGTTAATGTAAGACTTTCAATAAATATAAACATGCAGAAAATATTTATAACACATCTTTACACTAAATCGACTTATTTTAACGATTCTTTCTTTGGTTTTTAAGTAATTTCGTAAATTTTCAATAACGAACCGTTGTAATCGAACAAAATATTCAAAAACTTAACCCCCTCTCTAAATTTGAGGTTTTACGTCTCAAGATACGTAGAATTCGAAAAACGAATACATTTTTTTTATCCGTTTGCTGTCCGCGCATTTTCTCCGAAACTACTGGACCGAGTTTTTTCAAATTTGGGTTTAAACTCAGAGGTCACCCGAGGATGGTCCTCCTTCATCAAGATTACTATCTAAATTTTCTTTTGAAGTTAATAACATAAAAACCAGCGTTGTTATGGACTGTAGCGCCTAAACGAATGTACCGATTTCAATGAAACTTGGTTAACATCTTCTTCCTGATGCCCTTTAAATTTATCTATATAACATACTTCAACGAAAAGAAGCTGGAAAAAAAAGTTACGAGGGATGGTAAAATTAGATTCCGAATAACTCAAAAAGTACAAAAGACTTTTTGTTGATATTGTACATGGTTATTTAAAAATTTACGAAATTACCAAAAAACGAAAAAAAAAATGGTTAAAATCGGACAATTTGGATCAAAGATATGGTCTACTCTTTCATATGTTCTACTGCAAAGGTTATATCCTTTGTTTTGGATTTCGATTTTTTAATGTATTACTGAAGTAATATTATTTTTTTAGAAAGTCACTAATGATGAAAAAAAATGTTCAGACCAATTATTGGAATCACCTTTTATTTCTTTCTCTTTGTCACTAGGAAGGTAATGTTACTTTAGATATATAATCATATGAAAATAATAAACCATTGTGAAATAATGTGGAGCGTTTTAAATGGCAATACAACGACAAACGAGTTAATAATTTTTGAGATATTCCGAAATCAAATTTTACCACGCCTTGTAACATTTTTTCCAGCTTCTTTTCGGTGAAGTGTGTTATATGCATAACTCTAAAGGGTTTCGAGCAGAAGAATTTGGCAAGATTTCATTAAAATCAATGCATTAGCTTAAGCACTAAAGTCTATAGCGGCCACCATCTTTAAAAGAATGTGCGAATGTTAATGGCGAGTTCTGATGATCATCAGAAACGCTGAGAACGGACGGATTTTTTTTTATTATTCCATTTTCTTACCGAGAAACATAAAACCTGAAATTTTGGGAGAGAAGGGATAACTTTTTTTCTTGCTCCAGTACAAATGTTGATTATTGAAAACAATAAACCAAAATACATTGCCTGAATTAAAAAAAAAAGTATATGAAAAGCTTGAGAGCGTAATCATTTGCTCCAACTTCCATATAATTATATTTTATTGCCTAAAGCCGCTCCCTTTTTCTCTATTTCTAACCAGACTCAATGGATTTTTCCAGCCATTATATTAGGCTCGTGGCCTCGTTCTTGAGTTTGTAGATATTTCATTGTGATTTATGATGAAACATATTGTAGTGAATAAATCTCAATTAATAATGGGCATGTAGATTAGTTGAGTTATTTAGTTTACTTAGCTACGAGAGCGTTTGTTATTTAACTTATGATTTGTGAAACTATATCGAATTTCTTAATCGAAAATCAAAATATTGATATTTTCCTCCATATAAAAAATCTTTTCTTACATTAACTTGAATTTGAAAAAAAAAATAGTAGTAAAATTCATTTCCAATGAAATATCCTGATTCCAAAATAACAACAAGAAAACAACACATTTTTTTCCTTTTTTTTTACCACTAGATTCATTATCGCCTCGCATTCAATGGAAGGACAACAGACTTTAAACGACATGACTAAGGCTGACTTGTCCATCAGAGGACGACTAAAATATAGCTGGATAAGAGATCTTTCTTTTGAATTAAGGAACTAAATCAAAACCAGGAAGAAGTATCCTTCCTCATTCTTGAAATTCCAGAGCCAAATTTAACAACACATTTGCCAATTGTCACTGACATCCGTAATAGGTGCGAGTAAAAGTACGAAAATGAATAAACTATTAATAACATGGATTCAGAGAATAAGGATATTATAATTCTTTTATATTATATTTCTTATAATACCGAAAAGAAACAGGAAAAGGAACTCCTTATTTTCGAAAGAGAAGATCTCCACCGTGTTTTCGAAGTGAAAGTTGGAGAGGAGTGGAAGGACTTGTACAATGCTTTCGGGGAAGCTGATATTGTGAAAGCAATGGAGTTGAGGCGCTTAAGGTATGCAGAGCATATTGCTGGGATGACAGATGGAGACATGCCTAAAATATTGCTCGCACAGCCAATCCACGGAACAAGGAGAAGAGGGAGACCAAATCTGAGAGAGACGCCCACAGCAAGCCGGGAACTGGATGACGTCGGCGCAAGACCGTGACGATTGAAGAAAAGGTTGGGATCCTATATATTATTTTTAAATGGTGTTTTTTCGTCTGCAAGCCATAAATTCGTCAATTCTTCATCAAATCCAATGATTTACCACTCATTTTGAAAATATTCTTCTCCATCACATGCGAAAAATAGTCATATCCTCCTGAAAAGAAAGTTTATTCGCGAATAACTCAAAAGGTATGCAGTTTTTCTGGATTATACCCATGATAATTAAAAAATTACTAAATCACCTGCAAAACAAAAAAAATCGTAAAGATCGATTATAAATTTGTAAAATTTAAAGAATTTGTACAGGCCGAAGGAGTGAAGTGTGTTTAAATATTTTTTTAAAGTAGAAACAGAGATGAGATTTGTAATGACTCTCGAATATGAATTTTCAAAGCGATCGAAAAATAATTTTTTTTTTCTAAAAATTTGACCTAACGCACAATTCGATTTTTTTTCCGAAAATCACAAAAAGTGTTATAACTTCACCTAACTTTCACTTATTTGCACGAAACTTTGCAGGGATATAGGGCCTTATAAACTACACGAAATAACACAAACTTCACTCCCCTAAATAATTTAGAACTGAAGTTATAAAATAAAAACCTTTTAGAAGATTTTATTTATTTACTCTATATAGATGTGTTAGATGAAAAAGTTAGTTATATGGTCTTGAAGAGCGATAACTCAGCTTTCCAACGGTTTTAGAAACATTGAATTAGGATAAAATCCTGAGGAGTTATGGATTCTAGCAAAGCAATTTGTACAAATATTTTGGTCTATTTATTATGTTAAATGAAACATTTTAATCGACTAAGAAAAAAAATATTAATTCCTTCCTTACATAATACATAGGATCTACTTATTTCCATATTGTTTTTCTATTTCTTCACTAAACAAAATTTTCTGCGGATTATTCGCGCGGGCCAACTAGTATATAAAGAAAAACTAAAACTAAAGAAAAAATTGATGGTCACTATTCACATTTATGAGATATGTCTTGGAAATATCAATAGTTAGTTTTATAATATTTGAAGTTTTAAATATTTATTTAGCATACATTACTATGGTATTTACTGGTTCGTATTTTCTCTAAATGTTTTCTATACAAAATAATACATATTATTCATCACTAATAGCAAATAAAATTTCAGAAACTTTTGGATACGAATTGTTACCAGTTGAAAACTATTATACATATTATCTATATCTCGTACTTTTCATCTTATTTCAAATTCGATCTACTTAATTTTTTTAATGTAGAATATGAATACTGTTGATTTAATTTAATTTACAATAATTTTTTTTCAGCCAATTTAATTAAATTTTTCAATATAATAGAAAACGTATACCTAATTTATTAAATTTAATAGCAAATTCAACATAAGAATTTTGTAGATGAGCCACGAATTCAATCATTCGGGTAATTTTTTTTAGAATAGGATATATACATGATTTGGAATCTTCTTGATGATCTATATTGTCCTGTGGTTTAAGAATCAAACGGGTTTATTATAAACTGGATTATGGAATCACTATTAATCATAGTTACCTTAAAACTGTTTGTACTTGAAGCCCTGATAAGATATGATTGTTTATCATATTCACCGCCTACGGTTTTACTAATGTTTTTATAAATTTTAATTTCTTATTTCAGATATCTCTACCTGTCTGATATTTCCCCTCCGTGAAAATAAATTTAGTTTTGGTGATGTTGGTAGCTCACTTAATATTAATTAAATTCTTCACTTCACGGCGCGTATCCGTTCGATGTTGGCGCAGAGAGTAGCTGACTGAACAGCTGGCAAGGTTGCTGTAAATATCTGTTACAATGTTTCAAGGTTATAATAATTTGCATTTGATTAATTAACCTCGTCGTTAAGTAGCTTCGCGGAATGAATTGATAATTCAGTGCGTCACGTTGATAACTATGTGGTTATATTGAAATGGTTTAATGTC